ATTTGTACTAGTTGAACTGCATAGTGGTCTTCACCATTTGAGACAATAAAGATCAAAGCAGTTTCCTGGTTGCCACGTCCACCAAGTTTATGCCTAACAGTTTCAGGGATAGTCTGGGGAGCTGTAAGTCCAGTAATAGGCAATCTTATGCCTCCATTTATTAAAACCTCAAACGATCTTGTAATAGACATAAACTTCTTGTCATTAAATTCATTTATACCAACAATACAGACTAATATTTTCTAATATGTACTTCCATAAGAACATTGAAAGGCCTTTATTGGATGATCATGATCATCAAAGTCGATTTTATAATCCCACATTAGTTCTTTTGAGTTAGTCACATCCCTTGTAATGAAAAAGACAAGGATAACAACGACGTTCAAAGTCTCCACTTCAGCTGGAGTATTACTCAAACTCCTAACGTGACATCTATATATTATCTTGCAACATTGCTGCTAAAAGTTGCATCAAAACATAATGCTTCTTCATCCCTCAGTACTTTCTCCAAACGATAGTCTTGATGAGTCATGGACATTTGCAAGTTAATTAGCATCTAACAAGGAACAACTTGTGCATCTGTGAGAAAAGATACAGCCAACCATATTTGCATGCATATATGTTGTGTAACCATTGCTATTGCTCCTTGACGTACGAACCATTATTGAAGTAGCTAGCCAATGTCACAACTGATAATTAAACAAGAGTTCTTCCATTAAGAAAGCCACTAGATTTTAGGTAGACATTGAATTGGAGATTCTGGCTAAGAAGATTGGATCCTTTTTGGAGGTGGCTAAAATCGACAATATTTCTTGGGGGAAGTGTATTCATTTTCGTGTGATGAACGATGTTTGTGCTCCTTCAATTCAAGAATCAAATATGAAATCCAAAGGGGTTGAAGTACAGTAGGAGCAATAATAAATAGAATTAGGAAGAAGGGTAGGTAGTCACAATAATTCTCATCTTATGCTTGCCGAATCAAGCTAGATGAGGAGATTTACACATTCTTCTTTTTCACTGGTGGTTTATAATAGTATTACGTACTTTGCTTATGATTTGAGAAAGAAAAGACAATGAGGGAAATCAAAGGAGGAGGATTGACTCAAGGGGAGAAGGGTTAGAATAATATAAGGCCAGCAGTAGCATATTAAAATTGCATTAGCACAGCTAGTGGAACTTTGCTGTAATAATCAGTTGAGGAATACATATAAGTTATTTGTTTTTGGGTTACTAGCCATGGCAAGGCAGACGAAGAGAGACATAATTAGGTTATGAAACTATATAATTTTCAACTCACCAATGGACATGAAATGCATGTCTTAACACCAATAATATTTTTCAAGGAAATGCATATATGTGTGCTTTACGGTTAAAGTAACTATTCAAGGTATGATAGTTAACGAGAGGTTTAGTTAATGGACATGAAATGCATGTCTTTATTGTTAAAAAAATGTGAGGCATAATATGTAAAAGTCAATCGAGTAGTAACTATTCAAGGTATGATAGTTAACGAGAGGTTTAATTTGGTTGCTTGAGGTGACGTCATTAGCTAGCTAGTTAGGCATGAGATTCTTTAGTATAGTCGTGACTTGGCTTGTCACACAGATTGTAAGCTATATGGTATAGGATTGCTTGTCAATTCATTTACTGCTTATTTTTGGTATGATGTTGTGAGATGGATTTGAAAGAAAATTGGTGCTTATGGCGGGCTAGCATCAATGCAAGCCATGCTAGGACATAAAAAAAATGTTTGTCATAACTTTTATTGGTTGTTTGTTAGATGAAACCATTAACCATCTGAAAAAGATTTTGGAGATTTACATTTTGATAGTGATCGAGAACCATCAAAAGCTATTTATAATATCAAAATCTACTACAAAAGCTATTTTTAGACTTTTTTTTTTATTAGGACCTGATAAAAAAAATTATCAATAATGTTTTTGCATTCCTTGTTAAACAATGAGACTTACGGCAAGCTTACAATCAATTATTATGAGTTAGCTAGAAGGCTTACCATAAACCTATCGCATGCTGCATTTGTCTTATAAATTTTGAAAGATTCACGATATGTCAACCATAATTTTTGTCATATTATTTTTTTAATTATATTTATTTATTATTTTTTTTTTTTTTTGCCATATATGATTGTGTAAATACCCTTGTTGATAAGGTTATACATTTATGGAGTTAAATGTATATGCTTGATTTTTCTTAAAATTAATTGAGTAACTTCGCTAATTTTACTCTTTATTGATCCTTTTTTTTTTTTTTTAACATGGGTCTAAATTCCATGGCAAATGAATTAAATTAAAATTATACCTAACTCAACACAAGGTCTTAGGTCGTAAAGATGGACACGGATATTCTAACAAGGTCGGTGTCCATGTCTTATTCTTGGGATGCATTAGAGAGATTGACTTGGTGGGTTTAGAGCATGGTTCGTTAAAAGAAGACCTAATTGTTATTTCATTTAGCCTTTACTAGCAACTTAAAGTAGTTAAGCCCAAAAAACCTAAATCTTTCAAATCAAATCTGACCGTCCAAATTTAGATAACATGACATGATCCTAGCGGTTCTTTCACTATAAATCTTATATCATTATGAGAGAAACGAACTTTTGCATCGGAGAATTTTTAATTTCAGAATTTTCAATCTTTAGCAAAAAAAAAACACATAAACTCTCTATTTTAAAACTTTCCTACTCACACATTAGACAACAACCAAAGCTCTAAATGTATGGATTTTGACTAACCATGTATGCTTTTCCTCACCATGCCTCTCATTGTTTAAATCCTTTATATTTGGTTGATTGGCCGTCACTTTTATAAGTCACAACAATAGTTCTTTACACCTTGATCGGCCTATCGACGGATCGTCTAATCAATTCTCAAGAACTCCCTTTGCATGGTATATATTAGCTAGGTTGAAATCTTTATCCGGGCTTGGAAAACTTCTTTTGCTTATGTGGATTTGATGCCTTTTGATCTTCAGTATTATTTAATATATTTTTTTTTTACTTTTTCAATTTAAATCTTGAAATCAGATTTTATTAAATTCTATTTAATGTACCGTATTAATATGAAGGGGTGTTTTTGAGGTTGTTTGAAGATAAATTTAGTCTAAATTAATATACAATTTAATCTAAAAATATTCTTATCATGAAAAAAAAAAAAAAAAAACAAGAAAGTTTAACTTATCTAAACAATGATATATGAGGCAACATCAAAATAATATATAATTAGAACTACAAAAAGTTGTATTTAATCGATAATGACTTCTCTAAATTTCTTTTAAGCAAAACTGATTAATGTATGTTTGTGTGTTTGCTTTTTTTAAAAAAAATCTTTATTGATTCTTTTATGTGTTGCTTTTTTCACAAGTGGTGCACTAGTGGACATGTAGATGCTTCCAGTAATTGATGCTTTCCTAACCCGAGAATAAGCATAAATATTTCACTAATCAGTTTCAAATATGCTTATGCTTTACTGTCTGGGTTGCTGACCATCTTCCTGAAACTTTTTGTTAGTTAGAACCAAAAGGAATTTCTTTAGAAGATGATTGTTGCTTGAGTGCGCTATTAAGAATTGTGCCATAGAAAAGTGCTCTATAATTTTTGTCGGTAATTAATTAACGCGGTCATTTTTTTCTTTTTTTTTCCGAGTTCGATCTGCACAAACAAAAGTACTTGCTTAATTTATATGCAAGATGTGTATTTCTTCTTCTTTTTTGTTTGAGGATTGCGTGATCTGTTAAGGTATTATACGGTTGTTGTTTATGACACTAATTTAAATCCATCTTAATTATACGTCGTTCCTCGATGATTATATACAATAAAATTTATTCATGTCTGCATGCACATTAGTTATAATAGATAGTCGAAGATTCATGCCTTGTACTTGTTTCTCGATCCTTTATACCATAAGAAGAAAAAAAAATCATGTCTTTGATTATTTTTTCCTCGATGGTATGGGCACATCCGAACAAGTTTATGCGTATCAGAATTCAATCTTCTTTAAATTTAGATCATCCACAACGAGATCGGTATATTTATAAAATAAATACTTTTCTTATAATTTTTTTTAAGATTCAAATTTCTAAATAATAATGTGAAAAACACTATTAATCTATACTTAGGTTTCAATCTATACATTCCGAACTATTAAATAAATATAAATACGTGAATAAATAAAACCAACACGGGTTGACTTTTTTTTAGTTATGGTCGAATGTGCAACTCGCGGCTTAACAGGATCTGTAAAGATGCTAATAAATACTCCTCGGCAAATTTTAGTTTTAAAAACAAAGTGACACCCTTTTATATTGAACAAAGCACGTGAAAAACAGTCCCACCGTAACTGATTATTGTAATACAAGAAGTACACCCTTAGGGTCCCATTGTCTGATTGTGCAGTGAAAATTTTTCTTTTTTTAAAGAAAACACACACGCACATATATATTATACTGTATTTAAAATATTTATAGATTAAAAAATAATATTTAAAAAATATTTTCTTCTCTAAATGGACATTATTCAAAGTTGATAAAAAATATTTTTTTATAAAACAAACAAACTGCTTGTTTATATATATATATATATATATATATATATATATATATATATATATATATATATATTGTAAGGAATTTTAAATATATTATTAATATCTGAATTTATCATTCATAAATAAATAATTTTTCTTACAACTTCGAGAATTCCAATTAACTTAAGGAAAATACTCCTGCACCAATCAAGCTAAACCTATAAGAATTGTCTAACTAAACTAGTTAGATCCTTACCCTCGCAACTTATTGAAAAAAAAAAAAAAAAAAAAAAAAAAGGTGATAGACCCTTCCCGAGGAAGTTGGAGCGAGGGAAACAGGGAAAAGGTAGGAAGTCCGAATGGGTGAAAAGGTTAGTTTTTATGCAGAGAGTACAACGTCTCTCTTTCACAATTTCACATTGGCTGTAAGCATGAAATTGCCTGCGAACTCCTCATTTCATGACAGAGGTCAAATGCATACGGCAAATGTTGCAACAACGTCATGATGTGTTTGAAGCCACGCAAGGCACAACTGTAAGATAAAATTAAAATATCATTAGATTTCATATTACTATTATTACTACTTAATTTTGGACCTATATGAATTGATTATTATAATGTGAATTTGTTTTCAGAAGTCCGATGTTATTACAAGTGGTAATTTAAGGTCCAGTTGACTAAAAAAGAAATAACAAGTCCACGCAAGTTGGATAATCAAATATTAACCTTCTTTCCTGAGATGGAGACCTTTCTCCTTTCAATAGTTCAAATTCCATCCCGTCCTTTCTTTTCTGGGTGGGGTTCCCTCTGCTTTCTCAATTAATGCTTACCTCTCTCTCTCTCTTCCCCTCTGTCTCTCTCAAAATGTGAATCTCATTTTTCTTTTTCTTCTTCTTTTCACATGTACAGTGCTGTGTTAGAGTAGATGATTCCCCCAAGTCCAACTTCATCTTCTTCTTTGAATTTTCTCATTTCCTAGTATTGACCATCAGTCAGTCTCCTCACCAAACTCGTTTCCTGTTTAAAGATTGTCTTTGTGTACTCCTTCATATTTCTTGTTTATGTTGCTTCCATGTTGCGGCTCAATGAATCAAGAAACAGAGCCCACTTGTCATTACACCATTTCTTGAATTCACTCTATAAATTTTAGAAAAAGGCAGAGTCTTCACTGTGAAGGTTTTCTTTTTCGTTTTTGTTGTGTGGATATGAAAGAGCTTGTGATTCCTCAACTGTTTGTTTTTATATGGGTACTTATCAATGGTTATGTGAGCTGCCAAAGGCCTGCTGTTGTGAATTTAGGTGCACTTTTCACTTTTGATTCGGTTATTGGTAAAGCTGCAAAGCCAGCTATTGAAGCTGCGGTGTCTGATGTTAACAATGATAGCAGAATTCTCAATGGGACTAAACTGAATCTGCTAATGGATGATGCAAATTCTAGTGTCTTCTTGGGGTCTGTTGGAGGTAACATTCAAATCCTGTGTCTTGGTTTTTCTCAATTACTTTTCTTTCGCAATTCTGTTATTGTCTCATTGAAAGTACTAGCTAACATGAATTAAAAGTAGTACGCTAGATGGTTATTCTCGGGATTTTGTTTTCTGCCTCTCTATCTTCCTCATTATTACTGTTGCATTTTATATTATTTGTTTGATATTTTGTGCTTATAGTTCTGGTAATATCCAAGTTTTTGGCATACATAATGCTACTTGACAATACCATTCTTGATTCTTAGTTAGTTAGTTAATATCAAAGCTTTTGATTTACATGATGTTACTTGGCAATATCATTCTTCATATTATTTCTGAAATTCTGAACTGGAAATTGGATTCTTAGCACACTATATTATCTTGACTGCAACTCCCTTTTTTTGTCAGCTTTTCAGCTGCTGGAGGAAGAAGTAGTGGCCATAATAGGTCCTCAGTCTTCCGTAATAGCCCATATGATTTCTGCAATTGCAAATGGTCTCCAAGTGCCTCTTGTTTCATATGCTGCAACTGATCCAACTCTGTCTGCCCTCCAATTCCCCTTTTTCGTAAGAACAACTCAAAGCGACTCTTATCAGATGGCTGCCATGGCTGATTTAGTTGACTTTTTTAGGTGGAAAGAGGTCATCGCTATCACGATTGATGATGAATATGGGAGGAATGGGATAGCAGCTCTGGGAGAAGAGCTGAACAAGAATATGGCAAAAATTTCATACAAGTTGTTTTTGTCTAACCAATTCGATGAAAGCGAGGTCATGGATAAACTCAACAAATCTAAATTGCTTGGTCCTCGTGTTTATGTTGTTCATGTTAGTCAAGACCCCAGATTGGGAATCTTTACCATTGCCCAAAAACTTCAGATGATGACCGACGATTACACATGGCTTGCAACAGATTGGCTTTCTGCTACCTTAGAATCGCTCCCTCCAACAAACAAAACTTCACTTGGTGTCCTCCAAGGGGTAGTTGGGCTTCGTCAGCATACTCCAGAATCCAGCCGGAAGAGAGCTTTCATGTCCAGGTGGAAGGGAATGCAGCGAAAAGGATCAGCAAGTTCTGAGTTGAATACATATGGACTTCAAGCTTATGATACAGTTTGGATAGTTGCTTATGCTATCGACAAGTTCCTTGATGTACACAAAAATATCACGTTTTCTTCCGCTAGCAAGTTACTTGATATGAAAACATCTGGATTGCTGATTGAGAAGCTCAAAGTCTTCACTGGCGGAAATGATCTACTTAACATTATATTGCAGACAAATTTCACTGGTCTAAGCGGTCAAGTTCAATTTAATCAAGATCGAAATGTTTTCAGTGGTGGCTATGATGTCATTAACATCGACCAAGTGTCTATTCGTACAGTGGGTTATTGGTCTAATGTTTCAGGTTTCTCACTCTCACCCCCAGATTCCCAGAAAGGGGAACGAAATAGCTATTCTCGCATAGATCAGAGGCTTCAAAATATTACCTGGCCTGGTGGAAAGACTGAAAGGCCACGTGGTTGGGTAGTTGCCGTGGACGAAAGGCCATTGCGAATTGGAGTGCCTAACAGAGCCAGTTTTGTTGAGTTTGTTACTGAAGTACATGATAGCCATAAAATTGAAGGGTATTGCATGGATGTGTTCCTCAAGGCTCTGGAACTAGTCCCATATGACGTACCTTACATCTTCGAGCCTTTTGGGGATGGTCGGTCCAATCCCAAATATGATAATCTTGTAAATATGGTGGCAGCAGACGTAAGTAAATCATTTTGGCCTTTATAATTGCTGAGAACAAGACAACACATAAAATGTTGACATGCTTATGGGGAATTCATGACCTACCAATATAAGGAATGCATGCCAGATCTCTGGATTTGCTGCACTCAGGCTTGACTAGACAATCCTTTGTTCCAAAAGCAGCTTCCTAGATCCCCAAAAATGACCTAATGCTTCAAATGCCCCTGATTTGAATGCTTAGGCTATATGTAGCCATAATTTGTAAAAAATTGGAAGTTATAATGGGTTGCATGGTTCTCATTCTTTTTTCTTTTGGTAGACCTTCGTTTGAATTACAATGGAATCTCCATTCCGAACCTTGTATTTATAAATGTATAGACTTTTATTGGCAGATAGGACTTAGCTAGATGGGCAAAGCTTGTTTATTCTGTGAATGTTTGATGTCAGGTGTTTGATGCAGCTGTTGGGGACATTGCTATCGTGACAAACAGAACCAAGATAGTGGATTTCTCCCAGCCTTATGCTTCTACTGGTCTTGTCATTGTGGCTCCAATCCACAATTCAAAATCAAGCGCCTGGGTATTTCTTAAACCATTTACAGTGGAGATGTGGTGTGTCACAGCAGCTTCTTTTTTGATGATTGGAGTGGTTATCTGGATTCTTGAGCATCGTGTAAACGATGATTTCAGGGGTCCTCCTAAGAGACAGCTTGTGACGATGTTCATGTAAGCTCTGTTAATGTTTAATTTAAGTCTACTTATATTGTTGGTGCAACTTTACATTTCAATTTTAGTTGTTTTACATAATGTGTTTCCTTCTTCCTTCTTCCAGTTTTATGTCCAATAGAATGAAACTAATGCGGGTACAAATTACAATAATTAAGCTCCTAATATTTTTCAACTTTTACATGTTGCAGGTTCAGTTTCTCAACACTTTTCAAGACAAATCGTGAGGATACTTGACTTTAATAACTCTTTTTTTCCCTTTGTGTTTACATGAGCTGTGTATCTGTCTTTAAAAGGATACTTGATAAGATGGTATGAGGCTAACCTGAGCATCAAAGCATGTTTCTTATCAAATCCCTTTTCTGGAAACAAACTCGAAACTGTGTAGAAGTACATAAATTTCCTCGCTTTTTTGCTATTTACATAAATGGACATACTCTTGCAGTTCTGGTTGAAAGTGTCAATTGAAAATATGGACATAATTTCATTGATAAGTTGCTTTAACATTCTCCTCTTTACCTCAAGGTTAGTTTGGTGGGGAGTCAATAGGGTAGAATGCATATTTGCACATGAACCTTTTTGCATTGTATTGCTGTTGAAGGAAGCCATTCATGTACATATATTGCACATTCAATCAATTCAGGTTGTAGTACTGAAAGATGGCAATTCTTGGATCCCAGTTCCAATTTTAAGTTTTTGAGTTATCATGTAATTGCAGAAGAAACTACCATAAGTCCACTTGGACGGCTGGTGATGGTGGTATGGCTTTTCCTTTTGATGGTTGTAACCGCAAGCTATACAGCAAGCTTGACTTCAATCCTTACAGTTCAGCAGCTTTCCTCACCAATCACCGGAATCGATAGCTTGATTGCAAGCCATTGGCCCATTGGGTACCAAACAGGCTCATTTGCTTATGACTATTTATCAAACGATCTTTACATACCTCGTTCTAGACTTGTTTCTTTAGGCTCCCCAGAAGAGTTTGAAAGTGCATTGCGGCGAGGGCCAAGTGATGGAGGGGTGGCAGCTGTTGTGGATGAGCTTCCATATGTAGAGTTGTTTCTTTCAAAGTACAAGGATTTTGGGATCATTGGGCAACCATTTACCAGGGGTGGATGGGGATTTGTAAGTACCTTTCTATACAATCAAATGGATGCATCCATTTTTACATTCATCATGCGTTATGCAGATGCAGATGCAATGCTCATTAATTTCTTTGTGTTCAACTGTAGTTAAACCCACCCCAACAGTGAAAAATGAAATGCTTTTTTTTTTTTTTGAAAAGAACTATTTTGCTTTTCCCAAGAATAGAAAGGACATTTTATTCATTGTTCTGCATTAATCTTTACATGCATGCACTTTGGCCAAATATGATTTGCAGGTTAGAACTGCCTGCTGAGTGTCATGAGCAAAAGAAATACCTACTTCAATATTTAATAACAATTAAAGAAGGATTTATATATACTCTGATCAATTTATGTTTGCTAAGTATACATGGACCGATTCTTTTCTTTCATACAATCAATTTATATGGATGAATCTTAGCACTGCTCTTTCCATTTTTCATTTTCACCATGCCAGTTTCACTTTAATTGGTGTTCTACAATTAAAGTTCATCCTCAGTTATGGAGAGAAGGGGAAAAATGAGGAAAGATGAAAGTCTTGAACCTTGATTTAAACCATGAGATTATTCCCCTGAGTCACACTGTAGCTAGAGCATTCAAATCATTGTTATGAAACTTAGAAAAGTTTATGACATCTCATTGTGTTTATGATGATGTAAAGGCACTATCTGCTGTTTACGCCTTTTTTTCTGCCGCATTAAACCAGGCTTTTCAAAGAGAATCTCCTCTTGCTGTTGATATTTCTACAGCAATTTTGAAACTTTCTGAGAGTGGGGAGCTGCAGAAGATTCATGAGAAATGGTTCTGTCCTATGGGATATTGTCATGTAGAGAAAAAACACAGGAACGAGCCTAATCAACTCAATCTGGACAGCTTCTGGGGTCTATACCTTCTATGTGGTGCCATCAGTCTCACTGCCCTTCTTGTGTTTCTGCTACGAATGGTTCGCCAATTTGTGCGCTACAAACGTAGACAGTTGCACCCTTCCTCTCCATCCTCAATGTCATCAAGTGCCCGCTGTTCTCAGGTCATCTTTCATTTTTTTGACTTCATCGATGAGAAAGAAGAAGCTATCAAGAAAATGTTTAGTCAGGGTGAAAATCCTCAGACTCGAGCTAGCTTGTAACAATGTGTATCCATTTGAAGAAATTGAAGGGATCTGCATTGATGCAATTTGAAGAGCTTAGTATCGAATAGAATTTAGTCCTTGTTATATATGAATTCAGTCAATTCAATACACACACACACATATATGTATATGTATCCCTGTAAACAGCAGACTCTGCAAATCTTGTAAAAAAATTTTGTAAATATCTGATGCTTGATGTTAGGATATTCCGTTGCATTTTTTCAGTTCAGCATTTTTCTTTAATCTTCTTCTTGGACATTCAAGAATTTGCAAGTTATCGATGATCATGTTAATAGCAACGGCTCACTTGATGGCACAAACAATTCAAGTAGCCCCATTGAGATATTTTTTTCCCCTTTCCAAAACCTTGATTATTTTGGCCAGGGATGGGCTTGTTTCGTACACAAAACTATTTCATTCAAATGTTGCAGTTTAACAGGGATGAGCTTGTCTCACCGCTTCGATGTCATGGTTTGCTCTCTGTTATTTAAGTGTTGCAGTTTTGCTGTTGCAGCTGTACTGGACAAGTGTGTTCGCTACGGGATAAAAAGTGTTGCTAAAATGCCAGCATTGATATCGCAATGCCTATAATACCGTTGGATCTGATTTTAATGATATATTTTTTTAACTATTCCATTCAAATATTGTAGTTTAACAGGCATTGGGCGATGGATGCCAGTGTTCTGCCTAAATATTCCAAAACTACTGCAACCAAAATAGGCCTAAAGCAATCTGACCAAGGTTAGCAGGGAATATGTAAACGTGGGCGCATGTAACAAAGCAGCGACGCTCGTTTGAATCCAACATGGATCGGAATATATTTAGTTTGATGTTAGCTTGACAAGCATATCAATAAATTTCTGATTTGTTTTTTAGCCACTCTCTCACACGTGTTTGAAAATCTTTCTGGTTTCTTGCATTTGAAGTTTTTCTGTTGCATATATCGATTCCCCAAACAGATGCTTATTCCTTTCTAAAAGTTTTGGTGTTATGCTCTGGATAAACTCGAATGCTTCGGAAGCTGAATAAGTTCTATAAATTGACTTTGCAATGAGGAAATTAATCTTGAGGCATCATTCTCCATTATTAGAAAAAAAATTAATGAAAAATTGTTTTGTTTGCTTTCTCATTTAGACCAATTCTAGGAAGTAGGTCTAATGGTAAAGGTAAGAAAATTTACTCTTTTCGTTAACTTTCTAAGTTCAAATTCTAAAATTAACAATTAAAAAAACTTATTAGTTTGAATGTATGAGATTCGTACAAAGACATATTTTTTATATCATTTGAAACAAAGATTTAGTCTCGTTTTACGTAATTCAGTTCCAAAAATACTGTTTATACTCTTGTTTCCGTGATGCAGCCGGCAGGACCCAGGAAATGTAGACCCAGAGGAAAAATATCTAAGAGCCAGGACAAATTAAAATATCACCGTTCAGCAAATCAACCACCTAGCTACCAGCCTTCGTTCAAAGACACAGCCCACCTATCAGGGCTCGTGCTAATTATTCTTTCCATTATGTGCTTGTGGTTGGGTTGTTTTATTATTCTTCTTTCTTAGATTTCAATGATGGGGATATTTTAGGTTTGATTGGTCTTTAATCAGCTTTCGTGCATGCTGCCTTCAAATTCTTTTTAGTGCAACGACAAACTTTTTTAAAAGGTGGGGTGAGCTACCATCTTTGAAAACAGAACTGAATCTATTATAGCATGGGAGATTATATTTGACAGGACCCCATTAAGCTACGTAGTTTGTCATGCAGTGGAGATTGAAAACAGACATCTAAGGCTGAAAAGGATAGAAAGAAGCAATAAACAAAGAGGGAGAAGCAAAAGCATACTGTATGACGTATAGATGGGATGACGGAGAAAGGATAAGGAGAACACGTGGGGCACCTTGACAGCTTCAGTAGCAAAGATACACAGCTATGTCATGTCGGCTAGTGGAGGCATGTAATTTTAATTTGTAGTTTTACGTATTATCTCAGCATTTCACTTAAAATCTTCATTTTGTTTTAATTAGCCTCTGTATTTTCATTTCTATTTCAATTCGTTCTTTCACATCTTTCATTTCTACTCCAATTTTTCCTTTTGTCCATTTTCTTTTAAATTAGTAACGAAAAATGTGTGTAAATTTTAATTTTGTTCTTAAATTTGTGAAATATCTAAATATTAATTAAAAAGTAAAAAATAAAATAAAATTAACAAAATAATACAGAAAATCAATAGACTATGCAACAACTATAATAAAACTTAAGAGAATTAATTAACTTTTAAAAATCCTTAAATTCTACCAATTTCAACTCTCATTTACCATCAATAGCATTATCTTTCATTTGTCAATACTATAGTTTAATAAAACTCGAAATTCAAATAAACTAAACTCTTTCTCTTAATTTTATTTGCCAAAACATTGACCATTCACACCTCTCTCTTGATTCCCACGCTACCACGTCTCTTTCTTTGATAGTATTATCAAATAGCATTTTTGCTATGGTTAATTGAATTTGAACCGTTGTATTAAATAACCACACTCTAAGTGTGTTGAATTTGTCATATTCACAAGCTACCATTCTAACCATATGTGATTTCAAATTTATTTATTTGTTTGTTTTTTAACAATTGTTATTTAATATTTTATAGTAAATCTTCATGGAAAATTAGATAAATCGTGTAAATATGATATGCTAGTGAGAAAGCATAATAGAAATAATGATGATGTGATGAAAAAAAATTTTTTATTGTATTTGTTTTTAACTTAATCTTATTTGTTTATTGTTAAAGGATAAAAAGATAGCAGTTGATTAAAAAAATAAATAAATAATCCTTTTTCTTATATTTTTTTACAGCAAAAATATTTTTCTTTAGTGGTTTTTACATTTTAATTATTCATTTTTATTTTTTGGATCATATTGAGATATTCCATAAATTTAGAGATGAAATTGAAATTTACATATTTTTTTCGTTAGTATTTTTAATGAAAAAAAGACTGGAACAAAAATTAAAGATGTGGATCTAATCGAAACAAATAAAAAACTACAGGTGAGATTGATACAGCGCATAAACTTCAGTAAATTAAAATTAAAATCTACCCTCTCTTTGTGTTGCCGCAGCATCTTTTACACAAAATTTGGTATTTTGTATAGATTTTATCACATATAATTTTACACAAGTGAGAAACTTTCACCTCTTTATGCACAATATCATCATTGACCACCCTCCATCCTTTTTGTTTAAATTTATTGTGTAATAAAAGAATGGGATTAATGCATCATAAATACACTATTTTTTTTTTTTACTTTTTATCAATTGAATATATAAATTTTAATTTCTTTTTCATTTGAGTATATCGATTTTTTAAGAACTATTAATCAAGTACTTTCATCAATTTATTTGTTAATTGATGAAATATCTTTTACTCTGAAAATATAAAATTATAAATTTACCTCTTTTTTTATAGAAGGAACTCTCTCTCTAAATTATTCTACCATTTTAAATTTCAGTATAGAATTTTAAAAATATTATTTTTAGCTATGAAATCTTAGATGAAACTTAGCTACGTTTATACGTGAAATTTGAAAGTAAATACAAATATGAGATTTTTTATAAAAAAGATTCATCACCTATGAGTATTTAGAGAGAGAGTTTTCTTCAACAAAAAAAATATATATAATTTGGTATTTTAGAAGCAACAAACACATCATTAGTTAACATAGAAATTGATAAAAATATTTGATTGACGACTTTAATAAAATTGGTATATTCAAATAAAAAAAGTTAAAATATATTGATAAAAAAAGATAAAATTATAATTTGGTATTCTTGAGATAATAAATATGTTATCGAGTTAATAGAAAAATTGACGAAAATACTTAATTGATATTTTTTTAATATATGTATGTATGTATGTATACACTAAAAAAATTAAAATCCATATATAAAATTTAAAAATTAATATATTTATAGCACAATTATATCAAATAAGGTTGTGATTAAGTGATAAACGCTTCACCCATCATGTGACCCGACTGTTTGAAACGATCGTATCATGATAATCAATTTCCAAAGCAATGGTAATGTCAAAGACACGGTTCCATTGTCCCAACATATTGTTTCTTTTCTTTTCTTTTCTTTTCTTTTTTTTTTAGATGGCATTTTTTAAGAAAGATTTTTTTTTAGTTTTTGTCATCTTTGCCTTTTCATTTTCTTCTTTCAATTTTGAGTGCATTATAACCTAGTCCTTAAATGTAGCAAAAATTAATCAGTTAGCTCCTGCAGTATCCAGAACTAAATTATAAGCGGATTTTGAAGCATAAAAATTAAATATATAGTTGTTTGAAACACTGAGGATTAATTAATTAATTTTATTAAAATAAAAGGATTAAGTTATATTTAACTCTTTAAAACACCTAAACAATAAAACCCTTTGAAAGAATATGTATCGGTGAAAATATATGTGTTTATTTTCTTAATTTCTTAAGACTAGCATTCAAAGAATTTATTATATTTTTTTAAAGATATATTTTAAAAAATAATTTAATTTTAATTAATATGCATAATGATTGTAAAAATTAAAAAAGAAAACCTTTTTGAATAGAACAGAAGAGAATAAAGATACATTACAGGGGGACGGCATAAAGGATATGTGAGTGACATTGTTTCTTGGCAATAAACGAAAATGCTTTGAAACATTTATGAGTATTATCCAGAAGCGGATGACAATCCTAAATTCTAATTTTTTTGGTTTTTTTGGGGGACAGTCAAATATTATAATACGATCGCATGTTTCACAAACTTAGCCGCTGGACCTACTTTCAAATAAGGACCGTATTTTTAACGTTATGTGTTTTCTTATCAATACCATCATCTTTTCAAAGTTAATTTACTGTGAGGACAATTACCATTGTCTTTTCTCAACTTCTGAGATGACGTGCATCGCATCTCCGCTATTAGTAGAGTAATTCAAAATTAAAAAGAAAAAAGAAAAACGTAAATTCATAGCTTGATGGCACCTCAAGTTTGAAAAAGTAATTAAATTAACCATTGTCCTTTGATTTTGACATAACGACCGTTATATTTTCAATTCGTAGTCTTTTATTGTTTTGATTGCCATCGAAGTAGTGATAATAGTGATATTAATGATTATAATGATAATATTTATAATAATGGTTATGATAAGATTAATAGTAGTAGTGGTGATTATAAAATCATGATTGTTATAGTAATGATAAAATAATAAAATGATAGTCCTAATGTTAATTTTTAAAATAATAAGGTGTGACAATAGTTGTAATAACTAATGATATGATTATTGTTGTGATACCATTGTTTTAAAATGACGATGATGATAATAGAAATAATAATAAAGTGGTGGTTTTACATAAATAACAAAAGGTGGTAACAAATAATTTTAATAATAGTGACAATGAAGAAAAAATAATTTTTATTATGGTAATAACGATGCTGATAATTATGATACGATAGTGACATGATGATTGTTATATTGACAATAAAAAAGTAGTTGTAATAACGTTGACGATGGTGGCAGTTGGCAATTGTGGAACGATAATAGTAGTGATGGTGATGTTGAAATGTTGAGATAATGATAATAATAGCGTTAACAATGCCTGTTGAAATGATTTAAGTTATCATATTTATTAATATTGTGAGTTTGTAATATCAATAAAAATATTTTTTTTCAAAATTAAAATATTTTCTTCTAAATGGACATTATTCAAAGTTGATTGAAAATATTTTTTTATAAAACAAACAAAATCCTTGTTTATATATATATATATATGGGATAAATTTTTTTAACAAATTATTGCAAGGATTTTTAAATAGATTATTCACGTCCGAATTTATCATTCACAAATAAATAATTTTTCTTACAACTTCGAGAGTTCCAACTAACTCAAGGAACATACTCCTTCACCAATCAAGCTAAACCTACTCGAATTGTCAAACTAAACTAGTTAAATCCTTACCCTCACAACTTATTGGGGAAAAAAAGTGATAGACCCTTCATGAGAAAGTTGAAGCGAGGGAAACAGGGAAGGGATAGGAAATCTGAATGGGGGAAAAGGTTAGTTTTTATGTAGAGAGTACAACATTTCTCTTTCACAATTTCTTACTAGCGGGACATGCAATTCTTCCGTAAGTATGAAATTGTTTGCGAACTCCTCGTTTCATGACAAATGGCAACTCCATACAAGCAAATGTTACAACTACGTCATGATCGATGTGTTTGAAGCCACGCAAGGCACAACCGTAAGATACAATTAAAATATCATTAGATTCCATATTATCGGGGGTGAGCAAATGGTTAAATAGTTTGATTAAGCTTAATTCGATTCGATTTTTGATTAATCAAATTAGAAAAAATGAAAACCAAAATTGAACAAAATTAAATTTGGTTTTAACCAAACTTTTATTACTTTGAAAAAAGAAACGTTGAACCAATGCGTGCTTACTTGTTTTATAAATATGAAATGTTTGCAACTATTTCATTTTTCTCGGAACCGATGAATGCTTTGATAAACTTGATTGCTTATGATATCTTAAAAGCATCCTTACATAATAGTTGAACAAAAACTCAAGTTGGTAACTCGACATCTATTAAAATGGACACAAGTAAATTGGACGAGTTGGAAGAAAGCTTTCGGACTTTGATGCGAGCAATTATGAGGTGATTGTTTGTTGTTAGTTGGGGATACGAATCGATTAGCATTTCTACAACTATGATCGACAAATAGGGTTCTTATATCAGGATTTTGCCTAGATTTCCATAAAAGGAATGTCGCCAATTCAAGCTATGATATTCCATACCAAATATCGAGTTTATTCTTTACGGCTAATGAGGGTTATTAGAAATTATGAAGAATAAGATTGCAGCAGACCATATTCATTTGAACGGAAGAATAACCGAATAAGAACAAAGGAAATAAAATCTTAAAAGCCACATTTCAATTGAAAACAATAGGGGCATAACAACCACTAAAGACAGAATAAAATCTCTTTATCGTTCTATTAAAATCCATCCGACCTTTAGTTGATAAGCATTCGTAATCTTGAATTTTTTATGTTAGGGTACCGCAATTTGTCACAAAAAAGAGGATTTGACTCAATAAGCTTCGAGCTTAATCGGTATAATTGTTCTTCCCGACTTTATCTCTATAATTAGAAAGCCGATCATTTTCTCTATACAAGTGGTTCAAATTACATCCTAGTCACCAACTAAAATTGAAAACTCTTAATGCATCTTGTTCAAGCATATATACCTAAAATTATCCAATGTGAGCAATCGAGTAGTTTTTTTAAACAAGTCTTCATTAAAAGAGGCAAAAACTTTCGGATCCTTCATCGGGATATCTATAACCTAGGTTCGATCAAGCCTATCAATTAAGAGTATTTAAAAGCAATAAACACTATAAAAATATGAACCGTGATTCGACTCGATAACAAACTCGCTCGAAGCATATCATCAAAACTAAACACATAAAAGATTAACAATCTTACTTATCCAATGCCTCGAGGTACTTCGCTTGCGAATTTTAAATAATATCTTCATAATACCCGCTATCATCCACTTTGGTAAACCCGTGGAAATACTTCTCAAGCTCATCCCAATTGCCACCCAACACAAGCTCCTCAAAGAACTTTGCGTTAAAGAACAACCCCGATTCTTGCTCGAGCCTAATCAAAAAATGAAACAAATCTATTGTTAAAAAAAAAAAAAATTCTTCACTAACATAAGCTCTTTTGATGACCACGTCTTAAGAGAGAGAATGATGTCCATATGAACAAACCAGCTTAAAAAGAAACAAAATAGACATATATAAACCATAAATAAATGACCAAGACCCGTAAATGTGACCAATAAAAAATCTTCTGCTGGATGCCCGGATTATGACATGTTTCACACAAGAAAAATGCTATGGCTTATAATTAACTAGTTACCGCATTCAACCACATCAGTCATCGGTAGGCAAGTGGCTAACAAATCCAGTTATCCTATAGTCACAAAACCGGTTTCCGATTTGACATAAACCACACAAGAGATGAAACACCACACCAAGCAATGAAAAAAAATCAAGTGATCATAATCATAGTAAAATATATCCGGAGAAAGTCGCATAGATAAAGAACAACATATTACCTTCTAGTAAAAATATGTTATCTAAGTCTAAGTATTGAAGGATGCCCAAACTAAAAGAAATCTATAGTTACGTCGGTTCAACAAACAAGAATTGGATGGTAGTAAAATTTAGCGACCAAAAGAAAGAAAACAAATAAGTAGCACCTAAGGATGTAGGAAGTACACAAAAAGAATGCCACCCAAAGAATAAAAAATTCTTCAGAAGCCTTGAGAGCATGAAAGGCAAAATCGAAATTGCATTTTTAATTCTCGTAGCCATGAAAGGATTACAAGCCCAAACAAAAGGAAAGTGACACTTTATCTCCTAACTAAGAAAATCTTTATAATCAACCATCTCATAAAATATAGAATAACATGCATCACAGTCTTTGTTCCTTAAAAAATTAACAATGAAACACTTCGCATGCATTACATAGTTAGCATTGAGGAGGAAATCATGAAAAATTTTCAGCAAGGTAATGATTTATCAATATAACACACCTTAACAACTCATAGAGTTAATCCATTTATTGATTTCTTTCTTCCTATAAAATCGCTTAGCTTATTAGTTCCTTTAACGTCAAATGCATTATCCATTTAGAGATATTTTTAAATTTTTGTCTCGTTAAATTCAAAATGAAAGGCGAACGAGTTAGTGCAATGCACTTGGAGGGAATGATGTGGTAACAAATATGGTGTGTGATTATAGCAATAGTTTCAATAACGGTGATATTACTAATGCCATCCATGGCAACAACAACACATAAAGCTACCAACAAGGGCATTATTGACTTGAAATATTATCATATTGGTAAATAAATGTTATAATTTAACATAAAAGCACAAAACCGCAAAAGTACGAGTTAGAGTAAGGCTAGAAAGTAGCACAAGTGAAATAACTTGAGGGCGTCTTTGAAGAGATTGATATAATCGCTTCTGTCGATCAATCACATTCGTTGTTGAATCAAGGAACCCGATGCTTGAAGCCTTTGCTGCGGATCACGTTGTAATGGATTCGTTTGGTATTGCAAACCCGGATGCTCGAAACGGAAAATATAAAGCAAAGATCATAGACTCCAAGCAACTAGAAAGGAAAACATATGCCAACATGACACATTTTAAGACAAGGCTTCCAAGACAACACCACAATGCGGAACAAAGCATATCGCTTATCATAGCTCGTTAAGGAATCTAAAAAATAACCTAATCTATACCCAATACATTGTTGTTATCACTTATCGAGAAAGAGAGAGAGAGAGAGAGAGAGAGAGAGAGAGAGATTGACCTTGAAAGACATGAAGTTTGACAAAGGAAGACCGGATCTGGAAGAGGATCGAAGCCCGGAGCTCGGAGGACTGGAAGTCCGGAACTCTGAAGAGGACTCGGACTCACTCGTCACTCGAGTGGAGAGTGAAGAACAGGAGAAGAAAAGTGAAAATTTGAGAGTGCGAGAGTGAGACTGTGTATGTGAAAGGCCGAGAGTGAGAGTCGTGACTCGTGAGACAGATGAGAGGCCGAGAGTCCGAGACTTGAGAGTGCGAGAGACGAGAACGAGAGTGATTGAGTCTCGGTGAGATGAAAGACCGAAAGATTCTGCCGGCTTGCTACGTGAGAGTGATCGTGTACTGCGTCGAAAGGAAAGAAAAGTCGAAAGAGAGAACTTAGGGTTAGATCTTATTTTTAGGGATTTGAAAATTAGAATTAGAAATAAAAAAAATGATTTTCAATTCAAATGTTTCTTTAAAAAAAAAATCGAACCAAACCAAAATTATTTCGATTTTTTCGGTTCAATTATAAATTATATATTTTTTAATTTATATCCGAACCAAATTTCATAATTCGATCCGATTTAATTCAATTTTTGATTAACCAACCCTTTTACTCACCCCAAGATATTATTATTATTATTATTACTACTACTACCTATATGAATTAAATATTATAATGTGAATTTGGCGTCCTAAGTCCGATGTTATTACAAGGGGTAATTCATGGTCTAGTCGACAAAAAAGGAAATAATAAGTGCATGCAAGTTTTTTTTTTTTTATAAATTTAGGAAGTCTCATTAAAATGCAATGGCCGAATGCGTCTCAACATATAAATTATAGAATCAAGTACTTTAAGAGTGATTTGATTCACAGATCTCAAATATTTTATTGAACATCGAACACCTTTGACTTATAGATTATAAAAAAGACGAAAGATTGCAACTGAATTGATGGTTTCGTCTGACCAATCACGCTGTTAAAGGCCTTTTGAGACTCAATAGTGCAGGACAGAATCAACCATTGTAATCGAGTCATGCCCAAATAATAAAACTTCCGACAAACGAAAACAATCAAAACTCTCGACAAACGAGAGAACAACCAAATAAACAGCAACCTCCGAAAAACATAAAAGAACCAAACAGCTCAAAACCCAACCCCACGAAGGCAGAGCAATTCGTTGGAGCAGCCGCAGCAGATGCGATGGTGGAAGGCCGGCGGAGGTGGAGCTGACAAAAGCGCTGGTAGCGGTAGCTACCGGAGAGGACAGGTGGTGACCACAGCAGCGACCGAGGCGGATATGAGGGAGGCGGTGGTGGAGATCTCACTGGAGAACCTGTCAAGGCAACCACAAAACCAAAAAAGCACCAGATCTAGGAAAAGATCTAAAAGATCTGGGATTATTGAATGAGAAATACAAAAAGAAACAAGGAGGAAAGGGGGCTACCGCCAGACAAGAGCTCAACGGTGGTAGCCCCTTAAACCAAGCTTTCATGACAAAAAGAAAGTGACAAGCTTTCTAAGTTTCCTATAGAAAAAGAGAGATCTGCTACTGTTTTTTTTCCGAAAGAGATACTGATCAAGTTGTTCAAGTGCATGCAACTTCCTTTCAATAGGTCAAATTCCATCCCATCCTTTCTTTTCTGGGTGGGGTCCCCTTTGCTTTCTCAATCAATGTTTACCTCTCTCTCTCTCTCTCTCTCTCTCTCTCTGAATGTGAATCTCTTTTTTTTTTTTCTTCTTCTTTTCACATTTACACTGCTGTGTTAGAGTAGATGATTCCCACAAATCCAAATTCATCTTCTTCTTTGAATTTTCTCATTTCCTAGTATTGGCCATCAGTCAGTCTCCTCACCAAACTCATTTCCTGTTTAAAGATTGTCTGCTGTTCAATGAATCAAGAAACAGAGCCCACTTGTCATCACACCATTTCTTGAATTCACTCTATAAATTTTAGAAAAACGCAGAGTCTTCACTGTGAAGGTTTTCTTTTTCGTTTTTGTTGTGTGGATATGAAAGAGCTTGTGATTCCTCAGCTGTTTGTTTCTATATGGGTACTTATCAATGGTTTTGTGAGCTGCCAAAGGCCTGCTGTTGTGAATTTAGGTGCACTTTTCACTTTTGATTCAGTTATTGGTAAAGCTGCAAAGCCAGCTATTGAAGCTGCGGTGTCTGATGTTAACAATGATAGCAGAATTCTCAATGGGACTAAACTGAATCTGCTAATGGATGATGCAAATTCTAGTGTCTTATTGGGGTCTGTTCGAGGTAACATTCAAATCCCGTGTCTTGGTTTTTCTCAATTACTTTTCTTTCGCAATTCTGTTATTCTCTCATTGAAAGTACTAGTTAACATAATTTGAAGTTCTGGTAACATTTAAGTTTTTGCATACATAATGTTACTTGACAATACCATTCTTCATTCATAGTTAGTTTAGGTAATATCAAAGCTTTTGATTTACTTGATGTTACTTGGCAATATCATTCTTCATATTATTTCTAAAATTTTGAACTTGAAATTGGATTGTTAACACACAATATTATCTTGATTGCACCTCCCTTTTTTTGTCAGCTTTTCAGCTACTGGAGGAAGAAGTAGTGGCCATAATAGGCCCTCAGTCTTCTGTAATAGCCCATATGATTTCTGCAATTGCAAATGGTCTCCAAGTGCCTCTTGTTTCATATGCTGCCACTGATCCAACTCTATCTGCCCTCCAATTCCCCTTTTTCGTAAGAACAACTCAAAGCGACTCTTATCAGATGGCTGCCATGGCTGATTTAGTTGGCTTTTTCAGGTGGAAAGAGGTCATCGCTATCACGGTTGATGATGAATATGGGAGGAATGGGATAGCAGCTCTGGGAGAAGAGCTGAACAAGAAAATGGCAAAAATTTCATTCAAGTTGTTTTTGTCTAACCAATTAGATGAAAGCGAGGTCATGGATAAACTCAACAAATCTAAATTGCTTTGCTCTCGTGTTTATGTTGTTCATGTTAATCCAGACCCCAGATTGGGAATCTTTACCATTGCCCAAAAACTTCAGATGATGACCGATGATTACACATGGCTGGCAACAGATTGGCTTTCTGCTACCTTAGACTCGTTCCCTCCAACAAAGAAAACTTCACTTGGTGTCCTCCAAGGGGTAGTTGGGCTTCGTCAGCTTACTCCAGAATCCAGCCAGAAGAGAGGTTTCATGACTAGGTGGAAGGGAATGCAGCGAAAAGGATCAGCAAGTTCTGAATTGAATACATATGGACTTCAAGCTTATGATACAGTTTGGATAGTTGCTTATGCTATTGATAAGTTCCTTGATGAAGGCAAAAATATCATGTTTTCTTCCAGTAGGAAGGTACTTGATATGAAAACATCTGGATTACCGATTGAGAAGCTCAAAGTCTTCACTGGTGGAAATGATCTACTTAACATTATATTGCAGACGAATTTCACTGGTCTAAGTGGTCAAGTTCAATTTAATCAAGATCGAAATGTTTTCAGTGGTGGCTATGATGTCATTAACATCGACCAGGTGTCTATTCGTACGGTTGGTTATTGGTCTAATGTTTCAGGTTTCTCACTTTCACCCTTAGATGCTCGGAAAGGGGAACAAAATAGCTATTCTGTCATAGACCAGAGGCTTCAAAATATTACCTGGATCGGTGGAAAGACTGAAAGGCCACGTGGTTGGGTAGTTGCTGTGGACGAAAGGCCATTGCGAATTGGAGTGCCTAACAGAGCCAGTTTTGTTGAGTTTGTTACTGAAGTAAATGGTAGCCATAAAATTGAAGGATATTGCATCGATGTGTTCCTCAAGGCACGGGAACTAGTCCCATATGATGTACCTTACATGTTCAAGCCATTTGGAGATGGTCGGTCCAATCCCAGCTATGATGATCTTGTAAATATGGTGGCAGCAGATGTAAGTAAATCATTTTGGCCATTATAATTGCTGAGAACAAGACCACATAAAATGTAGACATACATATGTGGAATTTATGACCTACCAATATAAGGAATGCATGCCAGGTCTCTGGATTTGCTGCTCTCAGGCTTGACTAGAATATTCCAAAAGCAGCTTCCTAGATCCACATAAATGACGTAATACTTCAAATGCCCCTGATTTGAATGATTAGGCTATATGTATCCAGAATTTGTTAAAAAATGGAGGTTATAATGGGTTGCATGGTTATCATTCTTTTTTCATTTGTTAGACCTTGGTTTGAATTACAATGGAATCTCCATTCTGAACCTTGTATTTATAAATGTATAAACTTTTATCAGCACATAGGACTGAGCTAGATGGGCAAAGCTTGTTTATTCTGTAAATGTTTGATGTCAGGTGTTTAATGCAGCTGTTGGGGACATTGCTATCGTGACAAACAGAACCAAGATAGTGGATTTCTCCCAGCCTTATGCTTCTACTGGTCTTGTCATTGTGGCTCCAATCCGCAATTCAAAATCAACTGCTTGGGTATTTCTTAAACCATTTACAGTGGAGATGTGGTGTGTCACAGCAGCTTTTTTTTTATGATTGGAGTGGTTATCTGGATTCATGAGCATCGTGTAAACGATGATTTCAGGGGTCCTCCTAAGAGACAGCTTGTGACGATGTTCGTGTAAGCTCTGTTAATGTTTAATTTAAGTCTACTTATATTGTTAGTGCAACTTTACATTTCAATTTTAGTTGTTTTGCATAATACATTTCTTTTTTCCTTCTTCCAGTTTTATGTACAATAGAATAAACCTAATGCAAGTACAAATTACAATAATTAAGCTCCTAATATTTTTCAACTTATACATGTGGCAGGTTCAGTTTCTCAACACTGTTCAAGAAAACTCGTGAGGATACTTGACTTTAATTACTTATATTGGTTTATTTTTTGTGTTTACTTAAGCTGTGTATCTATCTTTAAAGGATACTTGATAAGATGGCATGAAGCTACCCCGAGCATCAAAACATGTTTCTTAGTAAAGCCCTTTTCTGGAAACATGCTCTAAACTGGGTAGAAGTTTATAAATTTCCTCTCTTTTTAGCTATGTACATGGAAGTAAATGTACAGACTCTTGCAGTTCTGGTTGAAAGTGTCAAGTGAAAATATGCACATAATTTAATTGATAAGTTGCTTTGACATTCTCCTCTTTACCTCAAGTTTAGTTTGGTGGGGAGTCAATGGGGTAGAATGCATATTTGCACATGAACCTTTTTGTATTGTATTAATGTTGAAGGAAGTAAAGGAAGCCATTCATGTACATATGTTGCCCATTCAATCAATTCAGGTTGTGGTACTGAAAAATGGCAATTCTTGGATCCCTGGTAGTTCCAATTTTAAGTTTTTGAGTTATCATGGAATTGCAGAAGAAACTACCATAAGTCCACTTGGACGGCTGGTGATGGTGATATGGTTTTTCCTTTTGATGGTTGGAACAGCAAGCTATACAGCAAGCTTGACTTCAATTCTTACAGTTCAGCAGCTTTCCTCACCAATCACCGGAATCGATAGCTTGATTGCAAGCCATTGGCCCATTGGGTATCAAACAGGCTCATTTGCTTATGACTATTTATCAAACGATCTTTACGTACCTCGTTCTAGACTTGTTTCTTTAGGCTCCCCAGAAGAGTTTGAAAGTGCATTGCGGCGAGGGCCAAGTGATGGAGGGGTGGCAGCTATTGTGGATGAGCTTACATATGTAGAGTTATTTCTTTCAAAGCAGGAGGATTTTGGGATCATTGGGCAACCATTTACCAGGGGTGGATGGGGATTTGTAAGTACCTTTCTCTACAAGCAAATGGATGCATCCATATATACATTCATACATAAGCATCATGCCTAACGTAGATGCAATGCTGATTAATTTCTTTGTGTTCACCTATATTTTAACTTGCTTTGCGGATGCAGAACCCCACCCTGACAATGGAAAAATGAATTTTTTTTTTCTGTTGAAAAAGAACTATTTTGTTTTTCCCAAGAATAGATAGGAGATTTTATTCATTGTTCTGCATTAATCTTTACATGCATGCACTATGACCAAATATGGTTTGTAGCTTAGAACTGCTGCTGAGTGTCATGAGCAAAAGAAATACCTTCTTCAATATTTAATAACAATTAAAGAAGGATATATGCATATGTACTGATCAATTTATTTTTGCTAAATATATATGGACTGATTCTTTTCTCTTATACAATCAATTTATGTGAATGAATCTTAGCACTGCTCTTTTCATTTTTCATTTTCACCCTGCCAGTTTCACTTTAATTAGTGTTCTATGATTAAAGGTCATCCTCAGTTATGGAGAGAATGGGAAAAAATGAGGAAAGATGAAAGTCTTGAACCTTGATTTAAACCATGAGATTACCTCCCCTGATCCACAGTGCAGCTAGAGAATTCAAATCATTGTTATGAAACTTAGAAAAGTTTATGACATTTCATTGTAGTTATGATGATCTAAAGGCATTATCTGCTGTTTACACTTTTTTTTCTGCCGCATTAAACCAGGCTTTTCAAAGAGAATCTCCTCTTGCTGTTGATATTTCTACAGCAATTTTGAAACTTTCTGAGAGTGGGGAACTGCAGAAGATCCATGAGAAATGGTTCTGTTCTATGGGATATTGTCCTGGAGAGGAAAAACACAGGAACTGGCCTAATCAACTCAATCTGGCCAGCTTCTGGGGTCTATACGTTCTATGTGGTGCCATCAATCTCACTGCCCTTCTTGTGTTTCTGCTACGAATGGTTTGCCAATTTGTGCGCTACAAACGTACACAGTTGCCTCCTTCCTCTCCATCCTCAACGTCATCAATTACTCGATGTTCTCAGGCCATGTTTCTTTTTTTTGACTTCATGGATGAGAAAGAAGAAGCTACCAAGAAAATATTTAGTCAGTGTGAAAATCCTCAGACCCCAGCTAGCTCGCAAACGTGTATCCATTTGAAGAAATTGAAGGGATCTGTCAATATTGATGCAATTTGAAGTGCTTAGTATCTAATAGAATTTAGTCCTTGTTATATTATATAGATTAAAAGATGGAAACTGTCAATTCATATATACATATGTATATGTATGCCTGTAAACAGCAGCAGACTCTGCAACTCCTGTAAAAAACAATTACTTGTAAATATCTAATGCGTGATGTTAGGATATTCCGTTGCATTTTTTTCATTTCGGCATTTTTCTTTAATCTTCTTCTTGGACATTCAAGAATTTGCAAGAAATGATCATGTTAATCGCATCACCTTACTTGATGGCCCAATCTATTAAAGGACCATCTCACCTAAAAGCTTAAACTGATAAGTGAGGTCCTATAATATAATTTATACTAGTCTCTAACACATCCTTTCAAGTGAAAGGCGATACTATATTAAAAGATCATCTCACCTAAAAGCTTAAGCTGATAGGTGAGGCCCTATAATATAATTTATACTAGTCTCTAACACAATCAATTCAAGTAGCCCCATTCAGATTTTTTTCCCCCTTCCAAAACCTTGATAATTTTGGCCAGGGATGAGTTTGTTTCGTACATAAAACTCTCGTCTCACCGCTTGGATATCATGGTTTGCTCTCTGTTATTTTAGTGTTGCAATTTTGCTGTTGCAGCTGTGCTGAAGAAGTATGTTCCGTACTGGACAGAAAACGTAGCTAAAATGCCAGAGAGCAATGCCTGTAATACCGTTGGATTTGATTTTAATGATATATTTTTTAACGATTTCATTCAAAAACTAGTAGTTTAACAGGCATCGGCCGATGGATGCCAGTGCTTTACACTTCCCTAAACATTCCAACACTGCTGCTGCAACCAAAAAAGCCCTAAAGTTAGCAAGGAATCTGTAAATGTAGCCACACTCGTTTGAAAGCAACATGGATCCGAATATATTTATTTTGATGTTTGCTTGGCAAGCATACCAATAAATTTGGGATCTGTTTTTTAGCCACTCTCTCCCACGTGTTTGAAAGTCTTTCTGGTTTCTTGCATTTGAAGTTTTGGGTTGCATCGATTCTCCTAACCGATGCTAATTCCTTTCTAAAAGTTCTGGTGTTATGCTCTGGATAAATTCAAATGCTTCGAAAGCTGAATAAGTTCTACAAATCGACTTCGCAATAAGGAAATTAATCTTGAGGCATAATCATTCTGCATTATCAGAAAAGTTTAATGGAACAGTTGTTTTGTTTGCTTTCTCATTTAGACCAGTTATAAGAAGTAGGTCTAATGGTAAGAAAATTTACTCTTTCCATTAACTTTTTTAGTTCAAATTTTAAATCTAACACTTAAAAAAACTTATCAATTTGAATGCACGTACCAAACTCGTGTAGAGATATGCCTTTTATATCATTCGAGAAGAAGGTTTAGTCTCGGTTTACGTAATTCAGTTCCAAAAATACTGTATATACTCTTATTTCCGTGATGTAGCCGGCAGGACCCAGAAAATGTAGACCCAGTTGGGAATCTTCTTTAACCGGGAAAAATATCTAAGAGCCAGGACAAATTAAAATATCAGCATTCAGCAAATCGTTCATATTTTGCTTGTTGAAATATATGGTTTGAAGACCTAGCCTATCAGGCTTCGTTCAAAGACACAGCCCGCCTATCAGGCCTCGTGCTGGTTATGCCATTGGTTATTAGGCATCAGATTTATTGCAGCGATGCTGACTACCTAGTCAATGGTTTTACTCAGCTGGCAAGTCAAGGTGGCCCAGAAGAAACCCGTCCCTGGGGTTGAGACTTGGAAATTGGAACTGGTAAGAGCTAGCTCCTGTACTGGTGTGCTGAAATGTTGTGTTCCTCCGTAGCGATCATATCATAAAAATCAAAATGTGAATGTAACGTCATTGGGTTGTTTTATTATTATCCTTTCTTAGATCTTAGATTTCACTAGTTTTTAATTTAGGTTATGCTACGGATCGAATAGAGTACATAAAATTATATTATTTTAATAATTCGTTTTATATTATGTATATATTAAAATATATCAAATCAAAATTGAATAAAACATCATTCAATTTTATAATTTTTAATCAAAATTTTATATTTGATTGACTATTCTTTATATTTTTATAATTAAAAATATTACTTATTTATCTTTATTTATAAACTAAAAAATTTATGAAAGTATAAAAAGATGTTAAAATCAATGGATTCTTATCTAAAACTTATTTTATAAATTATTTTTTAAAATATTTTTTTGTTTTAAAATTTTTTATTAAAAAAAATAGAGAAAAACAGGATCAAAGTGATGAAAATAAAAAAAAACCAAATCAAATATAAAATATTTATGAATTAAAAATAATATTTAAAAAAAAGAATCAAAATGTAAACTCACTAGAACTTTCGTAATAAATATTTCAAAAAATATTTAAAAATTATAAAAAAATATTATACATTAAAATAATAATATATTTGAATTTAGGTAAATAATATGAATAAATTTAATAATAATATTTTAAATAACATATTGAATAGTAATCGTATATTTTATTTTAGTTTTTTTTTTTATGGATAATGACGAGGATATTTTAGGTTTGATTGGTCTTTAATCTGCTTTGGTGCATGCTGCCATCAAATCCTTTTTTTTGCAACAAGAAACTTTTTTTAAAGGTGCGGTGGGCTACCATCTTTGAAACCGCTCCACTCGAAAACGGAATGGAATCTACTATAGTATGGGAGATTTTATTTGACAGGACCCCATCAGCTACGTAGTTTGTCAAGCAGTGGAGATTGAAAAACCACATCTAAGGCTGAAAAAGATAGAAAGAAGCCATACAGAGAGAGAGAGAGAGAGAGAGAGAGAGAAGCAAAAGCATATGCTATAATTGAATTAATATGAGAGACAAGAATCCAGTAAAATAGACATAGCTAGAGATGGGATGACGGAGGAAAGAGAAGGAAAACACGTGGGGCACCTCAGTAGCGAGGATACACATCTATGTCCTGTCAGGTAGTGGAGGCATGTATGGTGTTATTCAATAGAAGGACCAGCAGCATCAGCAGCCACATATATGTCACAGCTAGCCCTTGGCGTAATCACCACCTCGATCCAAACACGCCTTAAATGCAGTTTTTTTTTTTTTTTAGGGTAAATTTTAATTTGTAGTTTTATTATGTATTATCTCAGCATTTCACATAAAATCTTCAGTTTGTTTTAATGAGCCTCTATATTTTCATTTCTATTTCAGTACTTTGTTTCACATCTTCCGTTTCTACTCCAATTTTTCCTTTTTTCCATTTTCTTTTAAATTAGGAATGAAAAATGTGTGTAAATTTTAATTTCATTGTTAAATTTGAGAAATATCTAGATATTAATTAAAAAGTAAAAAAAAAAAACAAAATAATACAGAAAATCAATAGACAATACAACAAATATAATAAAACTTTAGAGGGTTAATTAACATTTAAAAATCCTTAAATTTTACCAATTTCAATTCTCATTTACCAACAATAACATTATATTTTCATTTGTCCATGCTATAGTCTAATAAAAGTCAAAACTAAACTCTTTCTCTTAATTTTCTTTGCCAAAACATTCACAATTCACACCTCTCTCTTGATTCTCTTTCTTCGATACTATTATCAAATAGCATTTTTGGTACGGTCAATTGAATTTAAACCTTCGTACACACTCTAAGTGTGTTGAATTTGTCATATTCACAAGCTACCATTCTAACCATATGTGATTTTAAATTTATTTGTTTGTTTTTTTTTTTTTTACAGTTCTTATTTGATATTTTATAGTAAATCTTAATGGAAAAACTAGATAAATCGTGTAAATATGATATACTAATGAGAAAGTATAGAAGAAGCAATGATAATGTGATGAATTTTTTTTAATCTTATTTGTTTT